TGGACAACAGGTTAGCCATGAGCCAGCAGTGTGCCCTTGTGGCCAAAAAGGCCAGTGGCATTCTGGGGTGCATTAAAAAGAGCGTGGCCAGCAAGTCGAGGGAGGTGATCCTCCCCCTCTACTCTGCCCTGGTAAGGCCTCATCTGGAGTACTGTGTCCAGTTCTGGGCTCCCCAGTACAAAAAAAGACCTCTTGGAAAGAGTCCATCAGAGGGCCACAGAGGTGGTGAAGGGCCTGGAGCATCTCCCCTATGAAGAAAGGCTAAGTGATCTGGGTCTGTTTAGCCTTGAGAAAAGAAGACTGAGAGGGGATCTGATCCAGGTCTATAAATATCTAAGGTGTGGGGGGCAGACTGGTGAGGTCAGACTGTTTTTAGCAGTGTGTGGGGACAGGACAAGGGGAAACGGCCGAAAACTGGAGCATAGGAAGTTCCGCACAAATGTGCGCAAGAACTTCTTTATGGTGAGGGTGACGGAGCACTGGAACAGGCTGCCAGGGAGGTTTTGTAGTAGCCTTCTCTGGAGATATTCAAGACCCGCCTGGATGTCTACTTGTGAGACCTGGTGTAGGGAGCCTGCTTTGGCAGGGGGGTCGATGATCTCTGGAGGTCCCTTCCAGCCCCTACGATTCTGTAAAAATGCACACTCCCTGTATGCATGTAAGAAAATATTAAGTGTTCTTGGTGGAAAGACATAGTAGGTAAAATCAACTTGTAGAATGCCATTACTTAATTATACATAAATATTTTCATTCATGTCAACATATTTTTTCTTTTTTTTTTTTTAATTGTTTAAAGGAATTCATGCATATATATATTCCTCGCATACAGACATTTAACTGGCATAGCATTCAACAAAAGGGCAAGTGTAATATAGTTTCACAGCAATGCTACAGTTGCGAGTCATTTGGCTTTAAGTAATAATATTGTGGGGCACACAATACCTAAAAATGTAGCAATTTTCTGCTGCTTGAGATCTGGGATGCACTGATTGCAATACAAATGTGTGCATTTGAGGAGGTGGCTCTGGCTGCAGCTTGGTACAGCCTTTAGAATTCACTCAGGCATGCATTACCTGAATTATGTATCACTAAGCAAAGCTGACTGGGTTTCATTGCAATACCTCATCAGTTACAAATACAACCTTTCATTGCAATCTGTCACATGCTTGTGCCTGAGCGTGATTTGTCTCACCAAAATACAATCCCCATAGATGAAACAAAGGAACTACTGATCTCAAAGACAACTTTCAAGTATAATGAAAGTAAACAGCAGTTAATGGCTAGAATGGGGTGAGTCTTATTTGCACGTGCTTTATGTTTTCTGCTTTTAAGATCTGTCTTTTATACCAGTGCAATGCTTTTAGTGAGCCAGTCATACAAAGTTAATATCCATCTAAAAACTTGCACATGCTACACAAAACAGCTAGTATTAAAAATGATTATAAGTAATTCAGAAAATAATGTACCTGTTCAGTTCTTCTGTGCTGCCTAAATGTAGAGATCATATATGCTTAACAAAAATTAGCATGAACTATGTAACTTGTTGACATTTATGCATTTTCCACACTCAAATATTAGAAATATGCTACCTATCTATCCTTGTCCTTCATGCTCTAAAATAATTACTGCTCTTATGGCACCTTCTTACTACACTTCAGATTCACACCTCCCTTCCCCCAGCATTGGTGTTGGTATGGAATTTCAATGAGCTCTTGCTGAAGAGTCAATTTCAAGTGCCAAGCTACCTAACCTGCATTTTTATAAGTTCTTTGTGGTTTAAACATACTGTCGCTATAGCTGACCACAACATCAATTTGTACAATTTTGATTTTGGTTTGTCTACCCTAATTTTAGATGCTTGGTAAAAAATAAATATCACACACAAATATTTAACTTATGCTTTATTCACCAACAAATTATTTTGTTAAAGATTATTACTGTTTTACATTTATTACCTTAATTATCTACATGAAATAAAAGCTACAGCTATCCTGCTTTGATACTTTAATTCATCCATCTCTGAGGTGTTCATACACACATACCCACAAACAAACATTGTTCTGCAACATAGTCAGAATAATCCTTTTGAAAATTTCTATAGCTTTTCTATTTACAGCTTTCCAGTATTTATTTTGTGTTTATGGATCAAATGCAGCACAGTTCAGCTATCCAGTAACTCTAATACTGATGCTATCTACATACAGTCATTTCCTAAAAACAGGGAAAGCTTCTGCCAGATAGAATACTACTTTCCGATCACCAAGATAAGAAAGACAATGAAAAGTAAAGATGGTATATCTTCTGCCAGGAATGCTCAACACATCAGACACCATACAGCTCTGAGTAAGTCATTAAGCAATTTGAAGATGTAGAGGATTTCTTTTCAAAAGGATTTTTAGTGTTACCCTGACTTTTTCCTTTATATGGACCTAAATCCCAAGGGAAGTGGCAGAAGCCATTTCTGGAGATGTCAGCAAACTGCTGACAACAGCAAGCCGTACACAGATGAGTGGATTATCTCATATACATGGGTCACTCTGAAAATAATGCTTCCTGTTTATTTTCATGGAAATAACAAAAAATACAAAGAGCACATAACATTTTATAGAGCAAATTCTCAGCTACAAAACACTATTTGTCAGCATAGTCACCATCATTAGCTGTGCATTTTGACTAGCAATGCACAATAGCCTGCATGTTATGACTGTGACAGTTGGCACCAGTGAAGGTGACCCACTTTTGTAACCACTGATGAAATGCACCACCCATCACCTCACTGTGCTCACATCCACTCTCTGGTCTTCATCAACATTCAGCAAGCATCAGTGAATGTTGATGGGTGCCATTCTTTTCCACATGGAAGAATTCAGTGACACACCTTTGTTTCAACCACACTTCCATGTCAGACACCATCTTGTCAGACTCCCCCTCTGCTGCCACCTGTCCCATGGAAGCAAAATATAGTTAAATATTGGTGGGAAGGTTCAGTCTCTACTGCCATAGGCCAGTAGAGCCATGACTCTACTGTCATAGGCCAACCTCATAAAGGAGGCATTATTTTCGGAGCAGCTTGTACATTCAGGCAATTGCCAACAGCAGACCAGGGTTGGCATTTAGTCTACAGGCTGCTCATGAGGCAGATTTAACTTCCTGAATGAAACTTGTTACTCATTTTATTGAGGCTATGGAAAGAGCTTTCAGGAGAACCAGGAAACTAAAGGATAAGGATTTTTCGAAGCTGCTGAGCTGAGCTCATTAAACTTTTATGGCTGTCAGAAAATTAGAGTGGGAAAATGGAAAAGAGGTGACTGAATTATTCCATCTAGTTCTCCATGCTTATTATTCTACCTAAATTGAACAAAAAAAGAACTTGCAAGTCTGCACTCTGTTTCGATTCTAATAATGTCCTGAAATGAGTGACTTTAAGCAAGGAGAAGTGTTGAATTTGAGCCGTTTTGCCTTAGTTTCAAGGAAGAGAGGGAAAGCTATTCTCCTACCATATGCCTCATACTTTTTTTTTTTTTAATTCTCAACCACAAATGCAATGTAGAATGTGAAACTTGAAATACTCTCTAGTGAACAACCACAGGAAAAGCTTTTGTGCAGCTCCACTAAATTTTCAGCAACTTGGGCACAGCAACTGAGGCCAAAATAGCAATGAGGCAGCATGGTAAACTGGACTGAGGCAAGAAAAAGAGAAGAGAAAAATCTAATGTTTGGACAAAAATTATTTTTATACTCTATTAAGAGGCATGATCAAAGTTTGATGATGGCACAACTTTCAGTATTTATTTTGAAAATCATATTTTTCCTACCAAGTTATAAACACACTAGAGAAAAACCAACAGTTTTTCAAAGCCTTGAATACATTGCTTTACAGAGCAAAGGTTGTCAGGCAACTGTGAATCTTTCTTTGGGGTTACTCTGTAAAAGTGGTACACTACCATGGAAATTTATATAAGCACTAATGCCTATTACACATTAGTGTGTAACACAGTGCTGCATAATGGTTATACAATACGTCATTGTTTGATACACTGTTAGGCAGCAAAACACTATTTAGGAAGGCCATATGCTTGTCAGGGAGATTGTCAGGAAAAAACTGTTACTCACTTTAATGAGAGAGAAACAAAACTAACTCTTTCCAAAAGCTAGCTCTCCTTTTCAAGATAAATTAACACCAATTAGCTACATGCTTTCATCAATCTTCCTAAACATGGTTCTTCAGATAAAGCTACACAAAGCCAAGATAAATCTCTGACTTTTACATGCTAACCACCTTATACTAGCTAAAGTAGGCATAGATGACTTCACTGCAGTATGCAGTACTAGGCAATTCAGATCATAAATGAAATGGTAATTAATGAAATATGCCACATGGTCCTTTTTCCTATAACAGCATCCTCATTTTCTATTCTGGTTGCTTCTACAGACCAGATTAAAGCAATGGCAACTTACTTACCAGTCAAAACTGTCAATGATTTGAAGTGCTAGCCATAAACATTACAGAAGGGGAAGAAAAACATCGCCTTGCTGAAAAGAGTGGAAAGATTCTGCAGAAAAGGGGAATTTGTTTTTCACAACATAAATCTAAAACCAGGTTTAAGGCAAGGTCTGGGATATCAGTCTTATCCTTGACACAGGAAGACCACATACGCTGCATTTAGGTGCAGAACTCTCCTCGATTGAAAAAATATCATGTGCATTTTTCATTATATGACTCAAAATGTATCATCAACAAAGCCCACATTGATCATAGAATGGCCTAGGTTGGAGTGGACCTCGAAGATCATTTAGTTCCAATTTTACTGCCATGAGCAGGTTGCCCCCCACCAAATGAGGCTGCCTAGGTCTCCACGCAACCGGACCCTGAACGCCTCCAGGGGTGAGTCATCCTCAGCTTCTCTAGGCAGGCCATGCTAGGGTCTCATCACCCTCTGAGTACTACAAATGTGTGTGATTTTCTCAAGAATGACTTGTGAATACCCTTTCGAGCTTACCTTTTCTCAACATCACTCAAATCACAGAAAAGCCTCTCATTTTCTTTTTGCAGGTGCTCATTTTTCACCTGGAGTCCTCCTAAGCAGTCCAGACAATAGCCAATCAGCTCTTTAACCACATCAGCTGGATGTGAAACTTTTTGTAGCTTCAGAGATCCAAGTCTAAACTAGGACAAAAGAAGAGACTGAGTTAATTCTTTTGTGAAGATCACAAAGCATCCTCCAAAAAATTCAGAAGTTTTGTAATCATAGATATAAGAAATATTTCAGAGTCCTCATGTTCAAAAGGATATAATACATTTGTAACGAGAAGCAGCAAGTGGAAGAATATACTTGCCATTATTTAAGCAGCTAACAATGTCTTACTGGACAACTGCCATTCAATATGCACAGGAAGTAAACACTGACATACCTTATAAAGGCAGGAAAAGCCTTTATTCAGGAAGTGTAACATGACATAGAAACAATCTGCTCCAAGACAGAACTCAGGTAGTCAGTAATATAAAGGTATAATCACAAGTTTTACAGAAGAGGCATGTGAGTGACAGGAGCTGAAAAGCCTTACTGTGATGCTAGCATCATTCTTGCTATTTGACCAATGAAATATGTGATTTGCTGCCTGTTTTGGCAGCATTTAAAACAATTAAACTAATTAAATTTAAATTAAAACAACCACAAAAATTAAAGATAAAACAAAATAAACAAATTACTTTTGATTTAAAGCACTCTACAAATGCTCACCTATGATCCTTGCCTATACCTGATACACAGAAACTAGCCCCAGAGTTTTCCTATTTTGGGCTCAGTTGTAAAGCTCTTAATAATAAGATGTGACCTTCAATTAAATTGGTAGTCTCAGTAATTCACTGAGACAAAAAGATGGGATCTCTAACAGTTGCATTTCTTCTGCAATGAGGATGATATATAGGATGCACAAGAGGTCTGAATAGTTTTGTTCTGCCTGGTGTGGCAGGCAGAAGGTTATTGTTTCTATTGTTTCTAAAGGAGGAATATCTCAGCCATATGCACAAAGCTCTATGAATCAAGCTATAAATACACACAGCTGGATGAAGATATAAATATGTACAACACGACTGGGGCAACCGCAGAAGTATACAGAGGCTCTGTGAATGTAGTCACACACATGATCTAAGAGAAGCAAATCAGGAATGAAGGACCTGACTGGTTGTCTTCTATGGGTAGATGAAGGGGATTCTGAAGTGCCTTCAGCTGCGTTTCTTTTGCTGCTCAAGTATGCAGAAGCTATAGGAGGCACCACCATCTTTGCCTGACGTGAGAACAAGATAGCACAGAGAGCAAAGCTATAGAAAAACAGATTGGGCTGGACAGCATAAATCAGACTTTGGCCAGCAAAAACTACAGCAGAAACAGATCTTTTGGAAATGGAGGCATCAAAATGACTAGACTTTGATTGGAAATGCCTGCAGAAATGCTGAGTACATGGAAGAAGGGGTCCTTTTGTATGTTTTGGAATCTTTAAAAAGATTCATAGATCCTGTGGCCACTCCCTTACAAATAGAACTATTGCACCTCCTTTCAATTTTAACTTGTCATTAACTTTTAAAAAATGTAAGTGGTAAATGCTAAGGAAGATTTCAGTCTGTGTTGCGGCACTTCACCTATTAAAAACAGAATTTCATTTTCATACATTTTCTTCATTTTACTCAGAAAGGTATAGCAAACATCTAAGAAAAAGTCCATGAAAAAAGAAGAGTAGAATTTGTTAACACTTATTTTTTTAAAAATAAGCTTTTCTTAATGCTGATTTTAAAAATGAAGTTAAGTACTACTATATGTAGTGGTCTGCTGAAAAAGAACATGTAGGAATTGCTCACCAAGACTTTTAGGGAATGTTTGAAGTAAATATCAGTTTTTCAGCTTGGATAAAATACTTAATCTGTGAAAGTCTCTGCAACAAATCATGACGCTTCTTCAACGAGTCTAATTAATCAGAAAAGATTTTGTTTCAATTTCTCCTCTGATTTTTCCTTTGAATTCACATGTACAGGGTCTGACTTACTATTTCCCTTTAGCTTATGTACATCTGATGGCTACAGATAAGAAGATTCATTTAATTTATTTTTGGAAATTAGATTACATTATCAGTAACCCACAAAGTGACCTGTATTCCCTGGATATCACACTTGCTGTCTGACAGCATTAACGAAGATGGATATTTGCATAAAGGAAACTGCTTTTCATCACTTGCAAGCCACCATCACACTATACGGATAAAGAATTCATGCCACACTTTAGTAGCAGCCACAGAGACAGAGAAGCATAGCAGCACAGATAAATAGAAACGTGATCTTCTACTTACACTGTGGAGGAAGCAGCAAGAAGAGTATTCAGTTTTGTCTCATACTTTAATATAATCAGTTGAGATAGGATAAACCTAAGTATGTTTAATCAGGACAAATACACATTGTCTGACTTGCTGTTTACTCAGCATAGGACAATAAAATATGAATATTCCTAAAAGAGGTTAGTGGAAATGAATTTCAGCTGAAAGCTGGGTTCTGTTCACAATCAAAATCACAGCAAATACATAGCAGACATTTCACAAGTACACAATTATAAGCAAACAGCAGTTCAGCTTCTTAAATGCATTACATAAGCTGATACTGCTTATGTCATATGGGGCTTTCTAACTGCAAATATAAAACTATTTCCTCAGCTTCAAAGACCACAAAAGAACTTTCGAAAATCTGTAAGGAAAAACAGCATTCTTTCTACAATAAAAGCTGAATCACAGAATACTGTGAGTTGGGAGGGGACCATAACAGTCATTGAATCCAACTCCTGGCTCCACACAGACATCCAAACCCAAACCTTGTGTCTGAGAGCGGTGTCCAAATGCTCTCTGGGCTATGGCAGCTAGGGGCCGTGCCCACTGTCCTGGGGAGCTGTTCCATGCCCACCACCCTCTGGTGCAGACCCTTTCCCTCACCCCCAGGTGCCCTCCCCTGACGCAGCTCCACGCCGTTCCCTCGGGCCTGTCGCTGTCACAGAGCAGAGCTCAGCGCTGCCCTCCACTCCCTGTGAGGAGCTGCAGCCGCCATCGGGCCTCCCCTCAGCTTTTGTGCTCTAGGCTGGGCAAACCAGGGGCCGCAGACACTCCTCACACTTCCAGCCAGCCAGGCCCTTCACTGTTTTTTATAGAATTTTAGAGTCTAGAGATACCAAAGCCAGCCTTTGGTCTAGCTACCATTTTGATGAATGCTGAAAAGGAGGAGGAGGAAGGTCAGGCTGCAGAGAGCAGAGCAGTGGTGCTGTTGCTAACCCCTGAACCAGAAAGTGGGACATGAAGAATAAATGAGACATCATCTTGAGTGTTCATTTTAGAGACTGATTGTCTTCTCAGAATAGTGCAATCGAAGGCAATACCTTACGCCTCCATATGACACCATACTATATCACATTTTCTGCACACCAGTGCAGAAAAACTCTGGATATTTAATATAGCCCTTATTAAGCCAAAGGTAATGTAATATTGGAGATGTGGTTTTACTTTGCCACCTTCATACAGAATCTTACACAACCTGCACAGACAAGCTTTCCCCACTAGTTTCTTCAGCATGAAATTATTTGTTACAGCCAGCTACTATACTGCCAATTTAACAAACTGAAATGTTAGCACTAACAATAGAAACATTGTTATCTGAGCAAATTACAACTGATTGGCACTTAATGTGGTACAGAGCCTAGTGCTGAGAGGCTGATAAACCGTAAAAGGCAGCCAGATCAGCTTTGCTTCCAAAGCATGAAGGTAAAACATGAGCCCTTTTTAAAACAATACAAAGAAAACCAGGTCTCAGGGCAGTTCTGCTCTAAGGTCCTGCTGCAATTCCAAACTGGAAAGCAAAGTGGTAAAGAAGCAAATGCACAAAATAAAAAAATTTTAGAGCTGAGCATTTTGAATTTGGGACAGACATCTACACTGCAGCACCAAGACAGAATTCTTTTAAATTTGAATGTTTGGAGAAAAAAGTGACAGAAAAATAAAAAAAAAAAAAAAAAAGAGGAAAGTTTGTTTTTCCTACATATTATTCTTTTTTCATAAGCACTTAAGACAAGAAATCATTCATTTGTCCAAAAATACACTTGTGAAATTGGATAGAATCTTAGAATGATTCAAAAGTGGTTTAAGATTAGGATACCATAAAAAACAGTTAACTGTTTAGCATCTGTGGAGTCAGGAGTTGCACTTCATGATCCTTATGAATCCTATCCAACTCAGTTTATTTTATGATTCTCAAGTCTCTTGCAGAATAGGGAAAGATCTTCCTTACTGTGTTGAGTGAAATGTCAACATTAACACTTCATTAAACTAATTTCACATACAACATATCTGATTTGGATTACATTCTCAAGGCGAATCTCATTTTGTAAATTCCTGGACGCTGCTGCTCCTCTCTAAATGAGTTTGTATTTCTTGCTCTTCTTCCAGTTGCTGCAGTTCTCTTTGCATCATCTGCAGATGTTGCCTCTCACTTCCTCTTTCAGATAATTCAAGAAAACAATATGTAAAACAGTGAAGCACTGAACACTTAATTCACACTGAGAATGATCAGATCTAGAGGTCCCAGGGGACAGCAAGCTGACTGTAATTGATATACTGCTCCTCTTCAATGTAGTTTTGGTGTTGTTTGTTGGTGGGGTTTCTTTTGTTAGTTTCTAAAGATGCATTAATACGAATAGAGAATAATTTAAAAAGTTGTGTCCTCTTGTGTCCTCTTCATCAGAAATTACAGCCAGCACTTATCCATTAAACTTTAGAAATAAGGACAACAATTAGATATTTATAACAAAACCATCATTTTCCCATCACCTCTCACTCTGTCCAAACACTGTTTGTCTTTTACAGAGGAATAAAGAAGTGTTTTCAACTACAAGGCAAAAACCAGTCTGGCAGTAAACTGAAAAGCTTCTCAATTTTTTCTTTCTATATTTTTAAAGCACTGGTATTTAAATGAAGTGGCTTTGCTCAGAAATATAATGACATTAAAACATCTTCCAAGAATCTTTTCCACAGAAAAGTTTGAAACTACATGAAAATTACTTGACTACATAGAGACATTAGACCTAGATTTCATTTTTCATTAAAAATACATATATGCTAAATGATCTCTGCATCACCACATAC